AAGTTATACAACGGATCTGCGGAGGTGGAGTATATTGAAGAGGATGATGGTCATTCCACATCAAAGTTCCCATACTTGAAACGACTCGCTATAGAAAGGTTTCCAAATCTGAAAGGACTGCTGAGAAGTGAAGGAGAAGAGAAATTCTCCATGCTTGAAGAAATGGAAATATGGCTTTGCCCTATGTTTGTTTTTCCAGCATTCTCTTCTGTCAAGAAATTGGATGTCAGGGGGGAAATAGATGCAGCAAGTATTCTCTCCATATCTAAGCTTACCACTCTTACGTCCCTCTCTATTGATCATAACTTCCAAGCAACTACTCTCCCAGAAGAGATGTTCATACGCCTTGTAAATCTTGAGTCCTTGAGCATTATATACTTCAAAAAACTCAGAGAGTTGCCAAGCAGCCTGGCTAGCCTCAATGCTTTGAAGTGTCTGAAAATTCATTATTGTTACGCACTAGAGGGTCTCCCCGAACAAGGGATGGAAGGGTTAACTTCACTCACCGACTTATATGTTCAAAACTGTGAAATGCTAAAATGTTTACCTGAGGGAGTGCAGTATCTAACAGCACTAGTTTACAAATTTATGGCTGTCCTGCATTGACAAAGCGGTGTGAGAAGGGGATAGGAGAGGACTGGCACAAAATTGCTCACATTCCTAATGTAGATATTTGTTAGTCTTGATCTGTTATTCTTTCTGAAATTCTTCTTTTGTTAGACATTGTTCTTTATTATTAACTTAGATAATTGTATCCATTTTGCTCTATTTAACAATAGACGATCTTCAAATTTTTCCAGATTTATCAAAGTAACCTGCATTTTGTCCACTTGAACAAATGACTCCTAATTTTTAATTAAAGAAATATGACACACATTTATGCAATTGAGACCTGAAAGAAGGAACAACAAAAGGCACCCAATGCATATAAAGTGTCTGTTAATACTTTGTTGTATCATCTATGATGCAGCTATCATTCATTATTGCCCTATGCTTGTTTTTCTGACCCTTGCTTGTATCAAGAAATTGGAAGTATTGAGCTCCATATTTAATCTTAGCACTCTCACCTCCCTCTGTATTAGTCATAACGTCGAACAGACTTCACTCGCCAAAGAGATGTTCAAACATTCATGGATATTTCAGGTAATACTTCTATACATTCCTTATATACTTCCAACACATTTGGCCATGCAATTTTTTCACTTTTTTCAAGAAGTTGAATTCAAGAA